TCAAAGCCCTACTGGGCATCTTGGCCATCGAATTGCTCAGACTGTCTTTTTATTTATTTCTGAGGCTGCCCGAGTGGGGAAAGAAGGTCCCCCTGGAAGGAGGATCTGTGCTGTCCCAGCTCTTACCTTTCATTGCCAGCATGACGGCTCCGAGGACCATGATGAGTGTCTGCAGCGCATCGGTGTAGATGACAGCCACCAGCCCCCCTGCGCAAGAAGAGAGCAAGGCACAGTGTCGGGAGCGCCGCCGGCTTTGGGCTTGGCTCCGTCATACAGTCCCAATAAAGCTGGCTGCGCTCATGGGGACGTGCCTGTCACCAGCCTGGTCCTGCCAACGCCGCGGTGATAAGGGCTGCAGTGGGGGGCACAGCTCCTCGGTGGGTCCCCTGCAGGGGCGGCCCACCAGCCGCAGGGGGCCGAGGGATGGCAGGAGGGGAGGGACACAGCCCCACGGCCCCAAGAAGTTGGGACAACACTGTCCAGCCCCAGCCCCAGCTCTTTGAATGCTCCAGCAAGCAGAACACATTCAGGGTGTTGATTCCATCATTCATCCCACCTGTCCCCAACGTCACACCAGGTCTCCCCTTCATACACCCCTCAGCTCTCCTCCCAGCCCTATAGTTTAATTTTTCCAGTACTTGATGCTTAAGTGGGGTCCCCCTCGGCCATCCAGCCAGCAGCATCTCTCCCTTCCCATCCCAAGTTCTCCTTCCAGACCTGTTGCAAGCCCAGGACGTGCTTATCTAGCCAGAAAGCAATTACTCAGCACAGGAACAAAAGCATTGAAGAGTAGCGGAGCCAGAGAAATTGGGTCAAAAATTGAACCCGTTTCAACCCCAGTCAGAGAGTCACATCCTGGGAATTCAGGGCTGCACCCTCCCCGGCTGTGGCTGGGATTTGGAGGGACGTTCTCAGGATCAGGGTGACGCAATGATCACACCCTCTGCCTGAGCTCACGCCGAAGTGCCTTACTTCGCAACGAGCCTTGTGGGCAGGAAAAAAAACGAGATGGGATTTGCTTAAAAGCAAAGTCTTGCAAAATCCGCCGTGTTTCAGATATACTTAAACTGTTTCCCGTTTTGATGGCTGGGACGAGATAGTGAGGGAGAATTTACTGCCGGGTGTCTCCACCGGCACTACCAAGGGAGGGAATGTCCCAGGCAAAACAATAACCAAAAGGGTCGCCAGGGATACGCAGT